AGCGCAACTGAAGACACTAACGAAGTAGGATTTCTAGAACTGCTTCAGAAAGTGGCAAGAAATACGGGATGAGTTTTTCAAAGCCGAGAGGGGTACTGTGAGGGGGATGCATGGCAATACGCCTTTGACTGTAACACTTTACTTAAACGCACACCATATTTTTTGATCAGCTCTTGAATAACCAGAAGTTACAAAATGGTACGTATACTGTGTTGATCTAATATGTCTGACTGCAGGTGACTGGGACCGGGCAGATGGATTCCCAGGCTAGTGAGTTACCTCTGGACCATGGGGTTGAGGAGTGGGTACTTCTATCATGTGTATGCTTAAAAAAAACTTAAAACAGTAGTTAAAAGTAATTCTTGTCAAGCCGGACACTATATATACACTACCTTAGAACTCTGCATCACACCTGGAGGGTAGGGTGTTTTCTCCACTTTATAGCTGAAGAACCTAAAGGCTTCAATGATTTGCCTTCGGTCAAAAGGTTGTTTAGAAATTGCCTGGGCTGGGGCTGGGGATTTAGCTCAGCGGCACAGCGCCTGCCTGGCAAGTGCAAGGTTGTGAGTTCAATTCCCAGTACTGGGAAAAAAAAAACCCAAAAATTAAAAAAAATATAGAAATTGCCTGGGCTAAGATGGAACTCAAGTCTGTGTGATTCCTGTTCTTTACTCCTTCAAATTATATTGTATTTGTCCTAATTTCAAATGGATTCAAGTAAAAGGAAATAATTTGAACATTTCTGATGGCTCTTTGCTTTCTTTAAATTTATTTTATTTTTTTGAGACAGAGTCTCACTGTATAGTTCAGGCTGGCCTCAAATATGTGATCTTCTCCCCTGAGCCTCCTGAGTGTCGGGATTGCAGGTGTGCACCACCATGCCTGGCTAACGTGCTTTCTTTTCAGAATGGTTTTGGAACACACAAATGGTTTATAAAGAGAATCCCTAACTCCCAGTATCCTTTGAGGAATGAGTACATAGGAGAGTTTGTAAATGGATATCGCCACGGACATGGGAAGTTTCACTACGCCAGTGGAGCCATGTACGAGGGAGAGTGGGTTTGCAATAAGAAACACGGCATGGTGAGTAAGACCTGTGAAGGTCACCTCCGAAAGATTAGGTAAAGCAATATAAGGCAGGCTCATTCTCTAGTAAACTGCACTGTCAATTTTACATAGATAATTTACTCTTTGTTGAGGTGATGACCTGAATTCTTAAATATTTCCAACATATGATCTAATTTCTGCATAGTAGAAAGTTATTTAATTAGTTTGTGTTACGTGACTGTCTGTGTGTTAGGGTGATTTTGCTTAAAAGTAACAATCTAGCTTAATCTGCCCTATATTAATGAAGGATAATGTAGGTTTCGGGGGTAGTTTGATTTGGTCTCTCAGAGAAGTCAGGGGTTCTCTTCTGTCTACACACAGTGTCGTCCACCATGTCGGCTTCATTCTTGTGTTGTCCCTTTCTCATGACTGCATGGTGGCTGCTGTGGTTCCAGCCTGCACATCCACATCTCCATTAACTAGAAGAAAAGAAACTCTTCTCTCAGAAGCTCTCTACAAATGCCTTTAATTTCACAGAGCTGAACTGGATCATTTTCCCACCTCCGAGTCAGTAACCAACCAGTAGCCTGAGCTTGACAAATGGCAAGGGAGTCCCTATTGTGTGACAGGCACTCTGTAGGTCCCTTGCCTCATTTGATAAGATCTATTTTGTGACTACAGCCTCAAAGATGGGGAGAGGTTTGGGATAGATATACAAAGAGAGGAGAGAGAAGAGGAGAGGGAGGGGGAAGGAAAAACAGGAAGAAGAGAGGGGGCTGACACAGTGGAGTGAGACCCTAGGAGTCTGATGGCGTGGACTGAGTGTGAAGCTTCAAAACAAATGAACCAGCTGGGCGTGGTGGCGCATACCTGTAATCCCAGCACTCTTGAGGCTGAGGCAGGGGGATCACAATTTGAACCCAGCCTGGACAACTTAATGACTTGAAAAATATGGCCTGTTTTTTCCTACCTTTAATAAAGATGAAACTTTACCACTGTTAAAAAAAAAATCTAAAAAGGCCTGGGAATGTAGCTCAGTGTGAAGGCCCTGGGTTCACTCCCTAGTACCAAAAAACAAACAAACAGCTCCCAAACCTCGAAGAAACTGCTGGTGCACATGTACCAATGTTTTTATGAGAAAACTTTTTTTCCAAATGATAAGAAGAAGTCTTTTTCCTGCCTGCAGGGCCGATTCACTTTCAAGAATGGGCGTGTGTATGAAGGGCTGTTTTCCAACGACCACATAGCACAGTTTGTAGACCCGGATGAAGACATCCAGAGTTACCTGGACCTGCATGCCAAAGGGGTCCGCACAAGCAGGCAGTACAGACCTTCCGTCAGCGCGGGTAGGGAGCCTTCGCCTGCCAGGTGGAGACAAGTTCATCTGCTGGTCCCTGGGGTCCATTCACAAAAAGCACCCGATTCCTCGGGAAGTAGAAGTTGCCTGTGAGCAACCGTTCTCTCATTCTGCCCCCCTCCTATTCCTTCCCTCCCTTCTTTTCTTCCCTTTCCTTCCTCTTCTCTCCCCTTTTCTTTCTCTTCATTTCCCTTGTTTTTTGCTGTCCTGGGGATTGAACCCAAGGGCCTTCTACTGAGCTATATATCTCCAACCCTTTTTTTACATTTTGAGACAGGGTCTGACTGAGTCACTAAGTTGTCCAGCCTGGGCTTAAACTTGCTATCCTCCTGCCTCAGCCTCTCAGAGCGCTGGGATCATAGGCGTGCACCGCCTCACCTGGCTTGCAGCTGTTTTCTTAGTAGGTTTTCTGAATGCTCTTGTATCACCCCGTGGTAGGGCATCGCTCTGGCATCACACTGAAAAGCTTTAACAGTGCTGCTCACAGTTGTCTCCTGTTCTGCTTCTGTTTTCTAGAAATGATCAGAAAGCTGGAGGGTACTGAGAGCCCCTCCACGACAGGACTGAGCATGGAGCTGGACCTCAGCTTGCTGGTCAACCTGTACCCTAAGGAAGAGCAAGCTGAAGAAAAGAAGCAGGTCAAACCCTTTCGCACTGTTATAAATTTGTATTCGAGGCTTAACTATTAATAGTGTCCCTGACCCTGAGGGTGACTGCTGGTGATCACGGTCATGTGGAAAGGCTGCTTTACATAGATCATTCCACTTAATTTCCAAGGCAACCCTGGGGGCCTGGACAGAGGGTCCCCCCGTGAGGTCTCCACAGCCTCAGAGCCCCTAACACTCACGTTGCTCTCACACTCAGAGTGGCTTGAAGACCAAGGCTGTCGCCACCTCCTTAGTGAGACACTAATTCTGCTGTGATTATGGTCCCCCAGGGCTCAGCAGAATTTAAAGCCCTTAGAAATTACTGAAAATCTAGGTGCTTTTGTACTTTTCTATTATCCCTGCTACTCAAGAGGCTGAGGCAGGAGGATCGCAACGTCAAGACCAGTCTGGCCATCATAGCAAGACGCTGTCTCAAAATAAAAAATAAGGGCTGGGGTGTTGCTCAGCAATGGGGCGTCTGCCTAGCATGTACAAAGCTCCGGGTTCCATCCCCAGCACTGCAAAAAGCAAAATAGCTACAATAAAACCCAAACAAGCAAAACAAGAAGTCACTGGAAACCTAAAACCCCTTAGAGAGAGAAAATGAAGCACTTGGACCTTATTTGATTCATAGCTGGCAAGTCACAGCAAAATGACATTTCAGTACCACGGCTCCTGCTTAGATCGGGCTTGGTATGTTTAGCCATCCCCGTGTGTCTTCACCCTCTCTCTTCCTCCTTGTCAAGCACCTGGCACCGGCTCTTGGGCCCCCGAAGGGAAGGCCGTCCATCCTCCCTCTCCTCTCCCGGCTCCCAAGGCCCACGCTGTAACTCAGGTGCCCAGGATCACCTACCTCAGCCCCAAGGCTCCTCGCTACTTCCTCTAATTACAAAAGCAAAAATGTAGAACACACAGATAAGGAAAAAGTGAATTTCAACCCTCTTGTGGCACTTTCTAACTTATAGACCTGAGCTCATTCTGTTCACAGACTCTCTGTTCTTGTGTAGAAGCTGATGATAGTGCCATTAGATATTCCCTATATTTTTTAGGTAAATACACTATATTGATTTACCAAGAAAAGTAAGATTGCTTACATTATTCTCCCATATTATCATTCTATACACACACACACACACACACACACACACACACACATACACTATTCATTTTACAGTTTGGAGTTCTATGTCAAAGCATGTGAAGTTGAGTATGGTGGCACACACCTATAATCCCAGCATTCAGGAGGCTGAGGCAGGAGGATCATTGCAAATTCAAGGCCAACCTGGGCTACATAGTGAGTTCAAGACCAGTCTGTGGTACAAAGTGAGACGCTGTCTTAAAAAACAAAAAAGCATGTGAGTCTTATAAAAATTATGTATTTAAAATATATTATCTATATTGAGTGTTTTATAATCACAAAAGGACACATGCTTTTAACAAAAAATTCAAACATTATAGCAACATAAAAAAATAATAATAAGAAGAAATATATGAGACCGAAAGGGAAAGGATCCTTTAAGGATACCTTTGAACATTTTTAATTACTACACTTCATAATACAGACACAGTATGATTTTGTTAGCAAGCTGTGGTTTTTTTTACTTTCATTTTGGATGATTTTACACTTACAGCGAGTGGAATAATCCTAGTCTCCACCGGCCTTCTTCCCAGCTTCCCCTTCATGGGGTCTCCTGAGGACCCTCGCACACGATGGGCCCCGGAACTGTGCATGGCAGCAGCTGTGTTACCTACGACAGACTCGTGCGTCCGAGTTCACCTGGTTCCCTCCCAGCACCCTTCTTCTATTCCGGGACCCCTCCCTGCATGCGTCTCTTCTATCCTCCAGTCCGTGACAGCCCCTCTCTGTTCTTCATGACCGTGACACTTCTGAAGGGTACTGGTCAGTGATTTTGTAGACTGTCCCTTACACTGGGTCTGTTGAAGTTTTGCTATGATTACATGTATTGCCTGTGATTGGTATCATTTTGGTGTCTTAATCAAAACATGGGTGTCTTTTTTTTGAGCAGAGGTCCTAGAGCATTCTAGGTTCAGCTAAACAAGCTAAGGAAGCAGGCAGGGTCCTGTAAGGCTTCAAGCTATCCTGCCCCCCAGTGGTGGCCTTTACCTCAACTCCAGGGGCTGTAACATGAAGCCTCTTCCCAGCCGGCCTGGGCCAGGCCTCTCCTGACTGTGAACTCACGCGTGACAGTGCTTGTGCTTGCAGAGTAACCCTGGCCCTAGGTTCCACTGCCTTCAGTCCCTGGATTATCCCAGCAGCCTCTGGGACAGTGTTTTTGCATAGGAGAGACGGGGCACAGAGGGATGGCAGCCTTGCTGCAGGTCACACAGCCCTGCTAGTGTACCTGGAGCACCCACCCCGTCTGCCCCAGACCCGGCTCCCCGGGGGTGCCTGCAGTTGGTGAAGTCCTGCTCGTCCTTCCCGCCTCGGAGCCCTGCAGGACACCCCTTGCTTAGATTCACTCTCCCTCTGCCTCCGCTCTGCTCACCCAGCGATACCGCCTTTTTGTGTTCAGCTCAAGTTCTTTACTACATTTTAAGGTTCATGAAGACAAGGTTCTGTACTGTGCTCTAGAACAGTGTTTTAGGGTTGAGCACAGGTGTTCGTGAATTACACTGAATCTTATAAGGCAGTAGATAATGGTGAGTGTAACATGCCTGATGCCGTGATTCAGGTGGCCTCTTTGGGCTCCGTGGGACCCTAAATGCTGTTCTTCACACTCTGGATGTTGAGACACAGCTAGCTAGAATAGGAGAAGGGGACACTGTACAGGCTGTCGGCTTGCATGGATGGGAGTTTAGGGTGGTGTAAGGGCATTTGGGATCTGGGGGCATAGAGGTTAGTAATGCAATCACTGTGAACATTGCTTACTTCACACGTCCAGCCTTAAGTATGCTGTTAGCTGTGTTTTTATACCAGCTGTTTATCAGGTTAAGGGCTCCTTTCCATTCCTAACTTGCCGAGGGTGTCTCTCATGAATAGATGTTAGCTTCTGTCAGATGCATCATTTGGTTGATCACGTGGTTTTTCTCTTTGAGCCTATCAATATGAACTACTTGGATGTTTCAAGTGTTGAAACCAGCCTTGCCATTAAATAAACCTACTTGGTGTTAATGTCCTATTCTTTTTATATATTGCTGGATTCAGTTGATTTTGTTGAGGACTTTTGCATTTATGGACTCCAGCAGTATTGATCTGTAGGAAACAGAATTTTATTGCTGCCATTGAGACAGGGTATGATCACATAGCAATATGGCAGTAACTCTGTCTTCCAGGAGACAACATCTTTCATTGCTATTAGTAAAAAACTGCATTTTATTGCTGGAGGTGAGCAGGCAGGATAGGATACTTATGGAGAGGCAGAGGTACACACTGTTGTTTACATGTGCCATCCTCATTTAATCTAGGAAGCAGGCACTGTGTCTTTTATTCTTACGAGGTAGGATAAGTATGCGTGGCTTTCTTCTCTTCAGGTAGAATATGCTCTCTTAAGAAACATTTCAGAATTAAGAAGAATCTATAGTTTCTACAGCAGCCTTGGATGTGATCACTCTCCAGATAATACCTTCCTGATGACAAAACTTCACTTCTGGAGATTTCTAAAAGATTGCAAATTTCATCACCACAAGATAACTCTTGCTGATATGGACAGGATATTAAGTAGTAAGTATTCCAGGTCCTTCACTTGTTTCGGACTGGGAGCTCATTAGCATGCCATCATGTCACAGGAACGAGTTAGGTGCTGGGAGGGCTGAGTGTATGGCTCAGTGGCCCCCTGCTTGTCTAATGTGTGAGGCCTAAGTTTTGACCCCCAGCACTGAGAAAAAAAAAAAAAAAAAAAAAAAGAATTGGGCAAATAGGGAATGCACAGGTTGGGAGACGTGTTCCAGAAGTTGGTGTGTGGCCTTGCTTTCCATGCTTACAGTGTGCTTGCAGAGGTGGCCTTGTGCAGTAACAGCGACAGTACAAGACCGTCAATACAGGGGTCAGCAAAGTATGGCCTGTGGCCAGCCCTACCTGCCATTCATTCTCCTAAGCCTCCCTGGAACACAGTCATGCCTATATCTGTCTTCTGCCTGTGGTTGCTTTTGGCCTATACCACAGAATTGAGCAGTCAGGATTGAGCCAGCCTGGATCATATTTATTTACTGTCAGGTTCCTTATAGAAAAGTGTCCCCGCCCCAGTCTACAGTGGAAAAGCATAAAACTGACAGGTTAGTGGCAAGGAGGATGAGGGAGTACTTAGAATAGTCTAGAAAAGGCTTTAGGTAGTATATTAGCCTTCCCATTGCTGGACACAATACCCAACACCTGCAGTCTAAAGGAGGGGTTAATTGGGCTCATGATTCAGGGAATTCAGTCCGTGGTCAGCTGGTTCCAAGGCAGGAACATCATGGTGGAGAGGCGTGGTGTCCAGAAAAAGGAGAGAAGCGAGGAACATACACCGTCCCAAGGCACATCCCCTGTGATGCACTTTTCTAAGGACAATTTATCAATGAGCTCATCCACTGATGAGCGTAGTGCCCCCATGATCAGTCACCTTCCACAGTCCCCACCTCTGAATACATGAGACTCCTAGGGGATATTTGAGATCTAAACCATTACAGGAAGTCTTAAGATTTCAAATTAGAAAGTCCATGAGATAAATTTAACAATCTTAAAAGGTTTTATTTCTTTCAGCTGAATTCTGAGAGGCGGAACTAAAAGCCTCAAATTAGCTTCTTAAAACATAAAATATTAGCTGGGCATGATGGCACATGCCTGCAATCACAGCACTGGGGAGGCTGAGGCAGGAGGATTGTTGCGAGTTTGAGACCAGCCTGGGCTACAAAGTGAGTTCAGGGCCAGCCTGAACTGCATAGAGAGACCCTGTCTCAAAAAAAAGGCAAAAAAACCCCCATAAAATATTAATGTGATCTTTAGGTATATATAAAATGTACCAATAAAATTAATTTTAATGATATTAGAAAAACATTTTTTAATACATTCATGACAGGGCCATAATTCATATGTCCACTACCAGGCAACTCTGACTCACTTTGTATGTCTCACTGCTGGGCAGCTCTGATTTAATTTAATAAAATAAATAAATTTGATTTTTGTAATTTTTAATTGGTATGAATACTATTAATATTTATATTTGGACAGTATTCAGATTTAAGCAACTAACTAGATTTGATCCATTTATAGACTTTTTATTACTTTTATTTAAAAAGATCGATAAAAATGATATCTTTGTACCACCAGTGTTACAAGCCTCCCCATGGGACAGTCATGCATGTACCACGGGTGGTTCAAGCCTGCAGGAACGTGTGAGATCCATTTACAATTAGCAGCATTAAGCTGTGGTTCAGGTGACTTTGAAAAACAGGGGGACAAAGTAAATTATAAGTGTCTTGTAAAGTAACCAGACAGAGCAGTTTCTGGTAGTACTTCATTTTTGGTTGGCTGTTCCTATATGTTCAGAGGAAGCAAGGACTCCCTCACAGTCAGTTCTCTGGGCTGTGTACCAGGAGCAAATAAAATAGGTGCTGCTGGAAATACTCTCCTATTGCATAGTCTCCAATTTTATTTTAGCCGGTAACGATATACCAGTTGAAGAAATTCATTCTCCGTTTAGAACAATACTTCTGAGGACATTTTTGAGGTATCTCCTGCAGTTGGCTTACCACATTCATCACAAAGAATACCAGTAAGTGCCTGGTGTTGACTGAGTTCCTTGTGCGGGACCTCCCAGTCATGTCATCCTCTTTCCTCCAGTGTCGGTGTTGTCTCCATGCGGCCTCGAAATGAAGGGCAAACAGCAAAACTTTCCCTAAACACCAGCCACAGAGCCTTAAGCTATTACAGTAAAACTCAGAACACCGCCACCTAGGGGTCATTTCAGTGTTGCATAGAGCTACCGGAATTTTATTCAAAATGAGACACGGTCAACTCCTATTTTTTAGGTCAGAATTTCCTGCCTTGAAGCAAACATGATACCTTCTTCCCCTCCCCGCAAATTTTTATGTTTTAGATTTACAGAAGTTTTACTGAGTTACTGTCTAGAGTTCCTATATATCCTTCACCCAAATTCCCCTAATGTTTATATCTTACCTAGCACGGTACATTCGTCAAAAACAAGGAATTAATGTTACTGTGATACCGTTAACCACACTACAGGCTTTTAAAAGATCTCTCCTGTTTTCCCAGTAGCTGAGTAGCTGTCCCCTTTCTGTCCCAGGCGTCAAGTCTAAGATGCCACCTCACATTGAACGATCATGTCCTCTTGGGCTCCTCTAACTTGGGATTATTTCTCAGACTTTGTCATGACCTTGACTCTTAAAAAAATCTTGGCCCACTAGTTTGTGAAACTTCTCATGTTTCTGTGTGTCGCAAAGCCGTCTCATGATTCTACTGAGCTTGTGGGTTTGGGGGAAGAACACTGTGCGGGTGAACGGCCCCCTCATCCCATCACACAGGTGGTACATGCTGTCGGATGTCTTGTTAGGGGCAAGGTTAACCCTGGTCGCAGATTGGGATGGGGTGAGGCAGGGTTTTCCACTGGAAACATGGTCTCTTCTTTCTCTACCCATTAGACAAGTCCAGTTATTAAGTCTAGTCCACACTCCAGAAGAGGGAACTTAAGTGCCTTCTCCTGGATGGAATAACTGTGATGTCTTTTTAATCACAGAAATCGAAGCCCATCGCTCTTTCTGTGTTTTACAAAGCTGATGACTGAAAACATTCGTCCAAATGCCTGCCAGGTAAAAGGTAAATACAAAAAAGGTAGGATAATATTCACTGTCATTTTTCGAAATTTAATTTCGTCATCAGTTTTTGAATGTTGTGTTTTCAGGTAACTTATTCAGTGAGCAAGAGGGGGCGCTCTACACAATGAATTATATTGATAAGTGCTGGGAGATTTATAGAGTTTACTGCAGACCGAGTGCAGTTCCTCCTGGTGAGCTTACGATGAAGATGAGACACTTCCTGTGGATGTTGAAAGTAAGTTTAATGCCACTTGGGTTTGATACTGGCTTCATATTTACAGGCATCTTTACATTACAGGCGAGATATTCTAGCTGTAATATATAATGAGGTGAATGAAGACCAGGGATGAGTGGGCTGGGGGCAGATCTGGGACAGAACCTAGGACCTGCTGTGTGCTAGGCATAGGCAGGTGCTCTACCCCTGAGTTACATCCCCAACCCCTTTTGAAAAAAATGTTTGGAACAGGCTCCCACTAAGTTGCTCAGGCTGGCCTCAAACTTGTGATCCTCCTGCCTCAGCTTCCTGTGTACCTGGAATTACATCCATGTGCTACCACACCTCACCTGGGATGAGTTTTCTTGAAAATTGAATGTTTGAGTTTCCTTTGGCAGAGAGAATGAGGCAAGCGGTCTGTGATAATGGGAGCACAGGAAGAGGGAGAGCCTTCCCTGTGCTCGCAGATTAGGGTCTCGGGATGGCTTCATTCCAGTGTCTGTACTGCTGCAGGCCTGGCCACTCACAGGTCAATGACAGCAGGAATAGCCTTTTTTGGGGGGATTTTTGTGGTAGGAACCTAGGGCCTTGCACACGCGGGGTAGGTGTCTCCCGCTGAGCTGTATCCCAGCCCTGAAAAGAAGTGACATCTTATTTACACAGTGTTCTCATACTATCAGGGATTTGTGCTCCATGACCCTTTTAATTTGTACTTGCGGGAATATACTTGATGAAGCTGAAGGAGTCGAATACCAGTGACAGAGTGCTTTAAGACATTTAGTAGTATTGCATGTGTGTGAAAAGCAGACAGTAACCACGTCTTTAGGAAAATAAATTTTTAAAATGTGTGGCTAGGGCATGGGATATTTTACAGCTGTTTATATGTTTCCTTTGACTCCCCTTTTTTGTGGTGCTGGGGATTAAGCCAAGCGCCTCTGAGATGAGCTATATCTCCAGGCCCCTTTTAAATTTTGAGACTGGGACTTGCTAAGTCACAAAGTTGCCCAGGCAAGGTTTGAACTTGTGATCCTCCTGCCTCAGCTCCCAGGGTGCTGGGATTATAGGTGCGCACCACCACACTCGGATCGCCTTACGCCTTTCTTCAGGGTCATTTGTCCTTGCGGAGTAGGTGACACGTCGTGGTTTTGACTGCACCCTTTCCATGGTGGATAACACGTCCCTTCCCCCTGCTTCCATGCCAGTGGCAGAGTTAGAGGCTCCACCTGACTAGGGTGGTGCTGGGTCCTTCCTGTTACATTGCATCACAAGTGTTTCTTGCGGTTTCAATGGGTTCCTGGGGCAGCAGCAGGACTCTTCCATTATATTTTCCACAAGCCTCCCCCTAGCGGCCCATGGTGGCCATTGCTGACTGCCAGCATTTCACCAGGGATGATACCATGGTCATTTCCAAAGTGTATTATTTCTCCTACCCACAGCATGTATTAGCTGTGAATCTGGTTTTATAAAGAGATTCACCTCACCACTTATGTGAATACTCTGATATACAGGTGCAGACAGGAAAAGGGAGATAAATGCTTTTTTCCCTTTATTAAATTTCAGGACAATGAGTTGATATCCTAGCAGTTCAAAGGTTTTCTTTCTTCCCGGTGAGGTACTAGGAATTGAACTCAGGGCCTCATACAAAGGCAGGCACTCTGCCACTGAGCTACAGTGTAGTCCTTTTTAAAATTTTGAGACAGAGTCGCACACTTAGTGGCCAGGTTGGCCTTGAACTTGTGTTTTTCCTGCCTCAGGATGCCAGAGTTCTGGGCCTACAGGGGTGTGCCACTGAGCCCAGCTTATTCTTCTGCTTTGTTTTTTTTAATTTTTTAAAAATTTTTTGGTACTGGGAATTGAACTCAGGACCTCAGGCTTGCCAGGCCAGCACTTATGCCGCTGAGCTATTTCCTTGGCCCAGTCTTTGGCTTTAATGTTAAGCCTCTTGCTCAGTTGTGTGGTGATGGTTGGAGGTCACACTTGGGCTGCGCACTACAAGGCTGACTGAAAGCTCTGTGGGTCGTGGCACTTGGCAGAGGGGGGCTGCAGTGTAGCATGTTGCCAGGATGCTGCCCCATGGCAGGCCATGAGCGTGGAGAGGTCCTGTCTCTTGGATCAGGACTTCTGGCTGCTGGATGTCACAGGTCCTAGAACAGAAATGCAGGAGGGGTAATGGCAAGACCCATTTTCACTCAGTCCTCTTTTAAAGCCCTTTCTTGAGGGGAGCCGTGTGTTTTCCCAGCCAGATTCTCTGGTTGGGTCTCTTCTCATTGTAGACCTTCCATGTGGAAAGGGCTCCAGCCAGACTTGAGCCGGTCTTCCTGTGAGCAGCCTCCTGGAGTGGCCTCTCCTTCCACTCACTCTGTGCCTCCCCGGGCTCCTTTGCTTGTGCTGAGCCCACCAGCCCAGCGCTGCCTAGCCTCTGGAAGCGTGTGGCTCTTTCATGCCTGGATCATTTACTCTCCCATTTTCTCTGACCTGTACTTTTGTAAAAGAAAAAAAAGAAGCAAGCAAGCAAGCAAGCAAGCAAGCAAGTGTGGTGGCACACACCTGTAATCCCAGCACTCGGCAGGCTGAGGCAGGAGGATCATTGTTGAGTTCAAGATCAGCATGGACTACAAAGTGAATTCAAGGCCAACCTGAACTGCATATCAAGATCCTGTCTCAAAAAGACCAAAAAAAAAAA